GGCCAAGTGCTGACATGGGGCAAAGGTGGCGATGTTGAAGTGTTGGGGAGAAGAGGCCTCGGGAGGCTGACATGCGAGGCCTCAAATGTTCACAACCCCTGGGGCCAGCACTATGGCATAGCAGGTAAAGCTGTAGCCTGCAGTGCCGGCATCCCATATGGGCACCAATTCAAGTCCCAGCTGCTCCAATTCTGATCCAGCTCTCTGCTGTGGCCTGGGAAAGCAGTAGAGGATGGCCCAAGTGCTTGGGCCCCTGCACCCGCATGGGAGACCTGGAAGAAGCTCCTGGCTCCGGATTGGCTCATCTCCGACCACTGCAGCCATCTAGAGAGTGAACCAGCGGATGGAAGACCTCTTTCTCTGCCTCTCTGCCTCTCAAATAAATAAATAAACCTTAAAAAAAATTATTACAGGCAAGAAAAATGAAGCCCACAGAGGTGGAGGGATGGGGACCACCCAAGTCAACCTCAGGACTCAAAATCCCATAAGTAAACCTACAGCAGGCTGACGGACACATCATGAATCAAAGGAAAGCACCATTTCAAACAGCATCCGTGTGCACTGGGGCAGGCCTCAGGGAGACCTCGGGCCTCAGGCTAACTCGCAGAGCCCGCCCTGGTGCTGCAGGCCATGCACACCTGGAGGCAGAGGGGGCAGTGGGGGAGGGGCGCTACCAGGAAGCGGGAGGTGCAAGCTGCCTGCTGGGGGCATGAAGTCAAAGTCCCCCCCTGCCAGAGCGGCCCAGCCAGCCCTGCTGCCCTTATCAGCTTCCCCACAGGCCCGGAATGTGGGACTTTGGAAAGTCTCTGTCCCCTCGGCCTGCACAGGGCGCTCAGCGTCACCTGCCACAGCCGGGGATGACCCAAGGCCAGCACCTCCCCACCTGGTGGACCCTCAGCAGGCTGCATGGCCTGGTGTCTCCCTTTCCTTACCAGGATGGCCAGACCCCACGCGCCCATGTGTGTCCCCCCCACAGGCCTCTCTGGAGCTGGGTGGCAAAGGCACACATCTGCACGGGACAGAAGAGGCCAACGAGCCGGAAGGGAAGGAAGGGGCTGGGAATGGGAGGCAGAGGACGGCGCAGAGTCCACCTGTCCCCTGGGCCGTGGAGGGTCTGCTGGGGGGAGCTCCTGATGACCTGGGGAAGCGCTGCAGTGGGGATACAGCAGCAAGACAAGGGCCTCGTCCCTAAGACCAGATCCCGAGGAGGGCTGTGTCGCCAACTCCAAACAATCGCTGTTCTGCCCGGGGCACCCGCCGCAGCCACCGCACACCCAGGGCCTCGCCAGTCCCCCTGCCTCTCCACACACACACACACACACGTGGTCAACCCCAGGAGAGCCCGCAGCTCTGCCCCAGCACAGGGAGCCCAGCCGAGTCTTCCCTGAAGCTCTGGCTCCCTGCCTCCAGGTGAGTGGCCTCACGTTGACCACACAACACAGCCCAGCAAACCAACCTCTGCAACGGCCTCCTTCCTCCCAGGGAAGCTGAAGTCAAGGAGAACAAGAGGAGGCTGTGGTCCCGTCACACCTGTTTCAGCCACAAGGAACCCAAGCGTCACTGTCAGGCCCAGCCCGGCTACCCAGAAGCCTGGCCAGGGCAGACTCTGGAACCCCAGGCTATGAGGCCAGGACCCCCTAGGAGAGGCCCCTCTGTGACCATGACTCAGCCAGTCGACCTCAGCCTGAGATGGTGGGGCGCTCCCCACCCCCAGCTGCTGCTGCTGCCGCCCCCAGGCCTTGGAGGGAGGCGGTTCTGAGCAACCGAGGCAACAGCACTAAAGAACTCAGCCTCATTGCCTGCTGGATTCTGGTTACTGCCACCTGCTAGAGCAGCGGAAATGGCAGCCGCCTGAGTCCACCCAGACAAGGGCCCAACCAAGGGGCGGGGCGCCAGCACAGACCACATGGGTCCCAGGCCCCTCTCTCCCTCCCCACGTTGTGTGTGAACAAAAAAGAGTCACTGAGGTGCAGAGGGAGCTGCAGGGCCCATGAGGCGGTCACCAACAGGCCCCGGGGGCAGCCACGGGGTGGGGGTGAGGGCAGCCACGCCCTCACCGTGGCCAATAGCCCCTCCACCTCCACAAGCGGGCCAGCTCCCACCTGTAGACACCCACCCCACCAGGCCCACTCCCACCTTTCCTTAGCCACCATGGAATGCCCATGGGATAAGTGAGGCCACCTGCGTTTCCCCACATCCTGCCTCCATGTGCTCCGACAGGAAATAAGCACAAGAAAGGACCTCTAAGCTCCAACCCCAAGGCCACCCTCCTCCTCTCCCCTAACTCACCACACAGAAACTGAGCAGCTGGAAGGAGACTACCGGCCCCCCAGCACCCCTCCCCCCAAGCCTGGCAGCCTCCCCGAGGGTCGCTCTCCCACTTAGTGCAGCCACACCCTCCCGTCCTGGACTGTGGCAGGGGCTGGGCCCTTCCTTATCTCGCTCACTGGGGGCCCAAGGCAAGCCCCATCCCCACCTGCTTTTCTTGCCTTGCCACTCCCAGCTAAAACTGGGCTCAAGGCGAGCCTGCAGCCCCTCCTCCCCCCACCGGCCCTCCCCCCCAGCCGGGTCCCTAACCCCGAGGGCAAGGCCCCTCCCAGCAGGAAGCAAATGCTGGCTGTGCCAGGGAGTCAAACTGGAAGGGCTTGTTTGGAAGCCCCTAATCAGGAACCGGGACCTGTCCTGGGGAGGGGGCTCCCTGCCCCACCCCTCCCTGGGATGAGAGCTAGGGCTTACAGGGCCGGATCTCCCGCTGTCCCGAGCTCAGGCTGGGGAAGCAGGGAGAGCCTGCCACGCCGCAGGAGCCCCCACGGGCTCTGGCGTCCAAGGAAGGCACTTCGCCTGCGGGCCCAGCAAGGTATTCAGCCTCCCAGTCTGCAGTGCAGAACTGGAAGAATTCCGAGAAAACCCGCTATCGCCCTGCCTCGAGGGCTGGTCGGTGAGCGCCGGAGGGCAGGGCCAGCCAGTGTGATTTCACCCATCTCACCTAGCCACGGGCTAGCTAGCTAGCTCCCGGGTCTGCGCCTGCACGGCGGCTGGCTGAAATACAAAGCTCTCAAAAAGAGCCTCCCACATGCCCGCAGGCAGCGGTGCTCCCGAGCCGGCTTCTCTCTCTCCCTGGCTTCTCCTCTCTCCCTGGCTTCTCCTCTCTCCCTGGCTTCTCCTCTCTCCCAGTGTCTGCCTTCCCACACCCACCGCCTACCCCCCCCACACACACACCCCGGTTAAAACGGTCACCTACAGCCACAGCCAACCTGGCTTGCTACCCAGGGCTCCCCTCCAGGCCCACGGCCGGCCGGCCCCTCCCTCCCTCCCACACCACGGCCAGTGCCAGCCCTTTATCACCCTATCTCACAATCATTTGTTTGCCTGTCTTCCCCAGGCTGAGCTCCAGAGGCCGGGCGATATGGGCACCCAGGTTTTCATTCCCATTTTACAAACGGGGACACTGTCCAGCAGGGACAGTCAAGAGTCCCCGGCAGAGCCAGCGAGGCACCCCAGGCTTCCTGACAGCCTGCGCAAGCGCCCTGCTCAGTACCCCAAGGGGGTGGGGGTCTCAAGGAGCCAGGAGGGCAGGAGCCTGACTTCTGGCTTTCTCAGGCAGAAGCTCCCGGCTGGGGCAGGGGTGGGGGGAGGGGGCGCCCCAGTGGGCAAGAGGAGCTATGGGGTGGGGCTGACTGCCGGAGGCCAACTGGCCAAGCAAAGAAAGGGCAGAGCCACAGGTCCCCTGGGTAAACTGAACTTTATTCCTTCCTCACTCCTGACTCCAGAACTGCCCAGCCAGCCCTTCCCCGGGGGCTAGCTGCTGATTACAAGGCACTGCCCCCCACCCCCGTGATCTGACCCTGGCAGACAATAAGGACTCTAGGAAGGCAGCACGCCTGGCAGCTCAATAATGCAAAGCCCTGTTGCTCAGAGTCCACAACAGCTGACTTCAAGTGGATCGGAGGCTGCGCTTATTAACAAAATGAGAAATCCGATCTGTGGAAAGAAAACACTACGTGAGGATTAATCCAGGGCTGCCGCTTGCGGACGGAGCCCGGGCTGCCGGCCAAGGCCAGGGAGCAGGAGGAGACCGTGCCTACCTGTCCCTAGGAGCAGGTACCGCACAGAGCAGGCCAGGCCACCGCTGCCCACGCTGTGGCGCCTCCCCCCAGCAAGTGCGGCAATCATTTCTGTTTCTGCTTTAATTAAAGGGCGGGCTCCCTCGGGCTGCTGCTTCCTCTGTGCAGAGCCAGCAACCAGAGGGAGATTTCTCTTTTCAGGAATAGCTCGTAAAAGCCCAGTGACTAATCCGCAAGTCCCAACAACTGGCCGGGGGAAATTCTGGGCACACAGCAGTGCTTGGCCAAGCTGCTCTCCTGCCCACAGCGGCCTGCGGGAAGCTAGGGAGAAGCCCAAGGAAAAGCAGGCCCACCTGGGAACTCTGACCCTCCCCTCCCACTCCCCCAGAGAGGGAGGCAGGTGGGGAGCTTCCGCCCAGCCTGCCCAGGGGGACCCAGAGGCTTCCCTAAGTCAGCCGCACAGGGTGGGAGGTTCACTTGCAGGCAGACGACTCACTCCTGGGAGCAGTGCCGGTGGCCAACGGACTCCGCTCCGTCCCCAAGGATTGGCCCTGCAGCCAACCTCCTGGGTGTTAAGAGCCCAGTAAACCCACAATGTCACCAACACAGCTTTGTCTCCAGAGGCTGGCCTCGGCCTGGCCCATCTGCTGTCCCCTTCAGGCCACTAGGGCAGCCCTGCCCCACCAGGCACACTCTTCCTCCGGGAGCCAGGGCTCCAGACCGGCCACATGGCCTCTTCTCCTTGAAGGCCCAGGGAACCCAGGCACCAACAGATGGGAATGGAGGGGCCCGGAGCCCAACCAGGAAGCAATAACGTGAGACAGAGAAAGGTTGAGTACCCCAGCTCCATCCCTCCTTCCCGGGGTTGGGGGGGGGTCCTTGGAATACAGCCCCAACTTCAGCCTAGAAGCTGAGTCCCTCCCCCTTACTACCTACCTGCCAGCTCTCCCCTTCCCCCAGGCCAAGAGGCACAGCAATCCCCCGTATCAGTCAACAATCCACCGCCTTGCCTCGGGATTCCTATGGGCAAGGCACTGCCCCTCCCCCCCACCACATATGTCAGAGAGGTGGCCTCCCTGGGTTACACCCCTCCTGCTGTTGGGGGCTGGGGGGCCGGGAGCATAGCTTTCCAGATGTGCTTGGCAACTCCTACCAGGAAAGACACTGCGGGTGGAGGGGGAGGAGAAGGCATGGCCAAAGAACTTAACGCGCACTCCAGCCTCCCGGGATCCGCAACGGGCTCCTTCCCCCAGCAGTCCCGGGCTGTTCTGGGTGGGGCCGCTGGGAGCATTATCTGGCTTCATCCCCCCCACCCCCAGGGAGAAGCATTTCTGCCCCCCACCCACCACCACTCACGCACACACCCAAGCCTGCGTGAATACGAACCATCTTGGAAGATAAACAGAGAGTGACAAGCTGGGGCCCCCAGACCCCCTCCCCCAAGCCCATCTCTCTTCCTGCCAAGCGGCTGCCTAGGGGAGCGGTCTGGGGGCAGGGCAGCTAGCCCACCAGGCGCAGGGCCTGGCGCTCCGAGAGCGGCCCCTCCAGGCCCGACCCTGCCCCCTTTGCCCTGGCCGGTCCTCCTGCTGGGAAGCGGGGACCGCGCACGGCGCGCAGGGCCGCAGTTCTGGAGATCACAAAATCCTCCAGCGAGGGGCGACGGCGGGCGCGGGGGAGGAGAGGGAGAGGGGAAGTAGGCCTACCTGTCAAGCAGGGCAGGCAACCAAATGACATTAGAAAGAAACGCTAATGAAAAGGCACAAAGAACCAGCGCCCGCTCGCCTGCCGTCCCCCGCTCTGCAGACCCGCGCCCCGGGCCCGGCGCGGCCCTGGGGGCTTTGTGCCCGGGGTCCACCCGGCCGCCCGCGCCCCCGCCGGGCACCGGGGAAGCCACAAAGCCCCGCCGGGGCCGGCCGGGGGTCCCGCGTGCGCCCCCCCGGCCGGCCCCGGCGGACGAGCACGCGCGCAGCCCCCACGTCGCCCGGGCGCGCGCGCGCCCACGCCCCTCTCCCCGGAGGCGCGCCCCGGCCCCGGCCCCCGCCCGCGCCCCCTCACCGCCCCCCGGCCACCCTCTCACCTCGTGTGCGTTAGCGGCGGCGCTCCGCCCGCCGGCCGGCCGGCCTCGCTCGCGACCCCTCGTCTTCGGCGCCCGGCCTGCGCCGCCCGCGCCCGCCCCGTCCGCCCGCCGCCGGCCCGGCTCGGCTCCCCGCCCAGCGCGCCCCGAGCGCCGCTCACAGCCGCCCGCCCGGCGCCATCTTGGAAGCTTGTGACGTCGGCGCCGCCCGCTCACCCCTAACCCACATCTGAATGGGCGAGCGGAGGGGCGGGGCCAGGGGCGGCGAGTGGGCGTGGCCGTGTCGGGGGCGGGGCGGAGGGGCGGAGCCGGCGAGCGGTCCGAGCGCTGGGCGGAGTGAGCGGCCGCAGCTACGCGCAGTGGGGGAGGGGCGCGCCGGAGGAGCCGGGGACCCCCCGCCCCGACCCCTAGAAGCCCGACAGGACGCCAAGCCGAGGCGCCAGGGTGAGACACCGGTTTCGCTCTTGCGGCATCAGGACCGCACGCTCCCCGGAACAGGCACCCTAGCCCCCCAAGTAGGCGGACTCCCTGCCCCCCGACTCAAGGCTGACCCCTTTGGAGCCTAACTTTGGCCCTTTGCAGTACCCACGCCATTAGGGCCCACCCAGCAGCCTGCGCCTCACCTCCCGGACGCCTTTGCTTCCCGCTCCGCGTTGCCCTCGGCCGTGGTCCCAAAGCCGCAGCCCTTAGGGACTACTGCTCAGAGGGTCTGCGCTCCGCGGGACGACCCCCGCGCCGTCGGGATCCCGAGGCCTGGGGAGCCCCGTGACCCTTGACCCCAGCGCCCCGCAGAAGCCCCGCTCCGAGCGCCGCGGGCCGGCCCTACCTGCTCCGAGGGCGCGGAGGTCCCGGGCGCGCTGCGCTCAGCCAGCCCCTTCCGGTGGCCGCAGCCCCTCCAGGCCGCGGGGGTCGAGCGGCGCGGCTCGTGGCCGGCACTCGGTGGCTCGGAGGAGCCGGGACGGGCCGCGAGCCGGGGGAGGGGGGCGCACGTGTCCGGGGAGTTAGGGGAGTTTACGAGGTCGGTGCGCTCCGTTTACGCCCTAACCCGTGTGTAGGTTTGTTAGAGTCCTCTGCACAAAATTCTAAACTTCAGCCGGAGGCATAAACAGCCAAAAAACAGCTGTCACTGCCCTCAACCTTGGGAGCAAAAACAAAAATAAAATAAAATAAACTCGCCAAAAGGTAGTAAAACAAATCGTGCAGGGCAGGGCAGAACAAGAGATACAAAAACCTAGAAACGGAAAGAACACAATAGATACAAAAGGAAAAAAAATCAAACATCTGTGAAAAAGAAAAGGACTATTCCACGAACAGAGCGCCCTGGAGGACATCCTATTGAAGGGAAAAAATAAAAATAAAAAAAATAAAAACAAAAAAAAACTGTTGGAGGAACCAGAAACGTACAAATAACAACTACCAAGAGACTTCTGTTTGTTTGTTTTTTTTTTAACCAAATTAAAAATCAAACTCAGATGGTATTTCTTCCAACACAGGCTAGAGCCTTGGGTGGGTAATCACCCTGATAGACGGTTAGAGATGGCTTTTTAAAAAATGTTTGGCACCAAAATGAGCTGCTCTTTTCTTTTTTCTTTTTTTTTTTTTTTCCTGCACACCTTGGCCTTGGGCTGTTGAAAGCACATTCGTTGTCTCAAAATTCCTGACTCTGAATTTGGCAGTAGGAACCAAAAAAAAAAAAAAAAATCTTTGAAGACGATCATGCTCCCTGGAATCAGCATTCTGGAATCCTGGGCGAGGGAAATTAACCTCAGGTGTAGATGCTGGAAGTGATTATCTGTCTACCCAGGCTGAAAGCTTGGACCCTGGTGGCTAGGAGCATGTTGGGCACTGAACAGTCATCCAACAAACAGTCACTTGTTTCATTTGCATTTGGAAATTAATAGTTTCCAGGGATTGTTTAAAATAATGAAAAAAATACAAAGTAAATGTTTAACAATGGGGAATTGGCTAAATAGTCTGTGTGGTGGAATCTTAGGCATACACTACAAATGGTGTTTATGAGGACATTTAATGATTTAGTAAAGTGCAAATGATATGAGGTTAAAAAAAAAAAAGAAAGCAAAATGCAACATTGTGTGAGACAGAGGCATGTTAAGTATTGATCCACAGAGAAATAAAGAGAATATATCAACCTACTTACAGAGGTTCTTTCTGGAAGTTGAGTCTTTTATTATGTATATTTTAGTATGTTCTTTCCTACAAAAGTAACATGTCTGATTGGAGCAATTTAGCCCTACTGAAGTGTATTTTTAAAAACATCTTTAAAAAATTACTCATTGTCTTTCCTCTGCCGCCCCACCTGTGTCTCTGAAATGATGTTAAACAACTCGATGTCTTCGCCGCCTTCTCTGTTGTTGATACATGTCTGTTCACGTGTCTCCAAATTTTATTATTTTGAAACTGTAAATTAATACCCTATATAAACTTACATAGTTGCCATAAAACTTAACAGTAATTTAGTATAAAACTTAGAGTACAGTTGCTTTCTGTCCCCTAAGAATATATCACAGACATGTTTCTAGGTCATTTCTGTAATTCACTTCTTAATATTTTAATTTTTTTATTGGAAAGGCAGAGAGAGAGAGAGAGGAGAGAGAGAGTTCCCATCCAATGGCTTGTTCCCCAAATGCTATGCTTGCAACAGCCCACCAGCTCAGGAACTCAACCCAGGTCTTCTTCATGGGTAACAGGGACACAATTCCTTGACTCCTGGATGCTGCCTCCCAGAGTCTGCATTAGCAGGAAGTTGGAGACCGGAGACAGAGGTGGATAGGGTGGAACCCCATACTCTAACACACTATGCTAATAGCCCACCCCAATGTCTCTCTTTTTTTTTTTCCCCCTTTTTTTTTTTTTTTTTTTTTTTTTTGACAGGCAGAGTGGACAGTGAGAGAGAGAGACAGAGAGAAAGTTCTTCCTTTGCCGTTGGTTCACCCCCCAATGGCCGCTGCGGCCGGCGTACTGCAGCACCGCGCTGATCCGAAGCCAGGAGCCAGGTGCTTTTCCTGGTCTCCCATGCGGGTGCAGGGCCCAAGGACTTGGGCCATACTACACTGCCTTCCCCCGGGCCATAGCAGAGAGCTGGCCTGGAAGAGGAGCAACTGGGACAGAAACTGGCGCCCCAACTGGTACTAGAACCCGGAGTGCCGGCATCACAGGTGGAGGATTAGCCTATTGAGCTGCGGTGCCGGCCCCCAATGTCTCTTTAATAGCTGACAAACTTTCTTGGATATAGGGCTGTATATCTAGTCTGTATTCAACACTTGCCTTATTCGTAGCTCTTCAGGTGCCCCACAATGTGGTGGGATTAAAAAGCTACTTCTAAAATAGTTCCTGGGTATGTTATCTTCACATTGTCCTGCTTTTCCCTTGTGCCAAGCAGTTTTTCAGAAGTTGAATCAATAGGTTAAATGATGTCTACGTTCCAATTATAAGACTTTCCCCAAACTGTGTAGGAATTCCAAATCCTGCTCGTAACATTTTTTTTTCCTTGCTTATTTAAACATTCTGGAATCTTCATTCTTGTACTTATTCCTTAAAAAATTGGGGCGTGGCGGGGGGGGACAAGGGAGAAAAACACGTTTCTAAACCGCAGTGAGCAAAGCTCTCAGTGTCTCTGTCCTCTGTACTGATTTTTCTGCCTGCAGTCCCGGAGCCCTGAGCCCATTTCCCAAGAAGCACTTTACAAAATCCACGCGAGATTACTTCCTTGCTTCTAGTGTGATCTTACTTAAGATCCGTGCAAGAATCAGAGGGAACAAGCTCAAGAGACAATAGCAGATTTCAAAATTGTGTTCTCACCGACAGCAACCCAAAAGGGCAATATGGAAATACAAAAGCCAGACATTAGCAATATGGAACCAGACAGCACATCCCAAATGCCCCCAACACTCTGTGCACCTAGGACAGAACCTAAACCTCTCTCTGATCTGCAGTGGGACTCACGGGAAACTTGAGGCAGGTGAGGCTGAGCAGACGAGGCGCCGGGCTCAGATATGAAGTGTCAAGTGGGACAGTGGCACTGGTTTGTTACTTTTTTTTTTTTAAGATTTTATTTATTTATTTGAGAGGTAGAGTTACAGACAGTGAGAGGGAGGGAGGGAGAGAGAGGGGGAGGGAGAGAGAGAGAGGGAGAGGTCTTCTTTCTGTTGGTTCATTCCCCAAATGGCCGCAATGGCCGGAGCTGCACTGATCCGAAACCAGGAGCCAG